TGGAGGCCAGTGGAGGGAATGGCAGAGGGGGGTGGAGGACACTGAGTGGAGGCCAGTGGAGGGAATGACAGAGGGGGGTGGAGGACACTGAGTGGAGGTCAGTGGAGGGAATGACAGAGAGGGGTGGAGGACACTGAGTTGAGGCCAGTGGAGGGAATGAATACCAATAAATAAAGACTTAGGACCCCCCAGACCCTTTGTCTGGTTCCCTTTCAGCCTTTATACATGTGGATCTTCAGATCTGGGAGTATCCTGATACTTTTGAAGAAGGGGGGCATTTCTGAGCCCCTGAAATGCATGTTTTCCAGTTGGTAATTAATACCAATAAGTAAAGACTTTGGACCCCTGGACCCTTTTTCTGGTACCCTCGTTAGACTTGTACATGGGGATCTGCAACTTTCGGTCCTCTTGAAGGGGTACCCAGCTGCTGTTGAGAGCGGCCTCAATGGAGCCCCCAGCAAGCCATCTTCATTTGGCTTCATGTACTGATAGGTTGAATCCAGCTCCTCGCTTTCACTTGTCTTCTCAGGTTTTGGCGTGTTCAGGATGCCGCTACATGCAGAACACACACATGTAGGATGCCGCTACATGCAGAACACAAACATTTTCTATGGAATAACGAGGGCTTAGCATGGAATTCAGCAAGGAAGCTCTTTTGTCAGAGATTAGGGTCCGTCCCGCTGAGCCTCTCTGATCCTTCAATGGCTCCGCAGTATTGATTAGCGGGAGTCGGCCCCTCGAAGCCATTTCAGGAGATTGCGATAATTACCGCGGGAATGGTGGAGTGCGGCTCACGCTGGCGGCGCCCCCTGTTGTTTCTGAAGGACTCTTGTCTTCAGGTCTTTATTTCCTTCTCTCAGGGGGAACCAATTTTCTTAACAACTCTCAGACGTTACAAACGTGGCGCTCTTACTGGAAAAGTCACATTTCCGAAGTTCTGCTGAGAAACATCGGCGTTGTGTGTTTTTCATCGTCATTAAACATCTTCTTGGGAAAAAGTTACAACGAACATCCAGTGACACCATCTATCTGTTGTAGAATGAATCGTTAAAGTGAACCCACGCTTTGCGGATACTTGCCTCCTCTCCAGGGGCAGACTGACCATTTGGAAACTCAGGCACTGCCCGAGGGCCCGGGGTCAGTAGGGGGCCCCATGAGATGCCCCTGGTACCTTTTTCATAGGTTTTTTTGAGTTTGGGCAAGGACACAGGGGCCCCATGATCCCCTATTGCCCGGGGGTCCCATGAGTTGTCAGTCCGCCCCTGCTCCTCTCACTGCTTCCGATTGGTGGGAGCAAAGAAAGGACTTGGCGCTTTCATAGGTCCCTTGATGGCCATGTCACAGCGCTGGGTGCCTGAAAGACCAATCACCCAGAACCAGAGCTGTCAGGCAAGAAGAAGGGACATGAGTCAATGTGCCTCCCCCCATGCATGGAAGTGCCGGCTATTTTTCTTTATCACTGGTGGCAATGCAATTGTAAAAACAAATGTGATATATTGCAGCTTACCAGACCTTAGATGTGGTGGCTGTGTTAGTTTTCTCTCTCCAGACTACGAACATTTTCAGCAATTACAGAAGATGCCTGTTGATCCTACCAGAAATGCTGCATCCTTGTCGCTTCCTCTGAGCCCAAAAGAGATCACAAGAATCTTTATATTTATTGTGTAAACGTTACTCTTATCAATCCCCCATGTAGAGGAGATGAACAACGCAGACGAGTCTAATGTCCAACCTGTGTGACTACCATGACCCCCCCCCCCCCCCCCCCCCCCCCCCCCACTGGAGACACGAAGGGACGGGAAGTGCTTTATCTGCTCCATCACCCAATGAAAACAACGGGAAACCGCCTGTAAAAAAATGAATGCCGTCGCCGCTTCTAGGGACTGTGTGCAAATATATATACAGTCATGGCCGAAATTGTTGGCACCCTTGATATTTTTCCTGAAAATCAAGTATTTCACACAAAAAAGGTATTGCATTAAACACATGTTTGCTATACACACATGTTTATTTCCCTTTGTATGTATTGGAACAAATATAAAAACAGAGGCAGAAAAGCAAATATGACATAATGTCACACAAAACCCCAAAAATGGGCTGGACAAAAGTATTGGCACCCTTAACTTAATATTTGGTTGCACACCCTTTGGAAAACATAACTGAAATCAGTCCGCTTCCTATAACCATCAATAAGCTTCTGACACCTCTCACCCGGAATTTTGGACCACTCTTCCTTTGCAAACAGCTCCAGGTCTCTCTTATTGGAAGGACAGACAACCTTTTCCCAACAGCAATTTTAAGATCTCTCCACAGGTGTTCAATGGGATTTAGATCTGGGCTCATTGCTGGCCACTTCAGAACTCTCCAGCGCTTCTTTGCCATCCATTTCTGAGTGCTTTTTGACGTATGTTTGGGGTCATTGTCCTGCTGGAAGACCCAGGATCTTGGACGCAAACCCAGCTTTCTGACACTGGCCCTACAGTGCGACCCAAAATCCTTTGGTAATCCTCAGATTTCATGATGCCTTGCACACAGTCAAGGCACCCAGTGCCAGAGGCAGCAAAACAACCCCAAAACATCATTGAACTCCTCCACCATATTTTTACCGTAGGTACTGTGTTTTTGTTCTTTGTAGGCCTCATTCCGTTTTCGGTAAACAGTAGAATGATGTGCTTTAACCGAAAAGCTCTATCTTGGTCTCATTCTGTCCACAAGACGTTTTCCCCAGAAGGCTTTTGGCTTACTCAAGTACATTTTGGCAAACTGTAGTCTTGCTTTTTTATGTCTCTGTGTCAGCAGTGGGGTCCTCCTGGGTCTCCTGCCATAGCGTTTCATTTCATTTAAATGTCGACGGATAGTCGCGCGCTGACACTGATGCTCCCTGAGCCTGCAGGACAGCTTGAATGTCTTGGAACATGTTTGGGGCTGCTTATCCACCATCCGGACTATTCTGCGTTGCAATCTTTCATCAATTTTCCTCATCCGTCCACGACCAGGGAGATTAGCTACAGTGCCATGGGTTGCAAACTTCTTGATAATGTTGCGCACTGTGGACAAAGGCAAATCTAGTTCTCTGGAGATGGACTTGTAACCTTGAGATTGTTGATATTTTTTTGCCACAATTTTGGTTCTCAGGTCCTCAGACAGTTCTTCGTCTCCTCTTTCTGTTGTCCATGCTTAGTGTGGCACAGACAGACACACAATGCAAAGGTTAAGTGAACGTCTCTCCTTTTTATCTGCTTTCAGGTGTGATTTCTATATTGCCCACACCTGTTACTTGCCCCAGGTGAGTTTACAGGAGCATCACAGCTTGTAACATTCTTATTTATCCGCAGTTGTGAAAGGGTGCCAATACTTTTGTCCAGCCCATTTTTGGAGGTTTGTGTGACATTATGTCGAATTTGCTTTCTTTCCTCCCTTTTTTTGTTTTGTCCCAATACACACAAAGGGAATAAACATGTGTATAGCAAAACATGTGTTAATGCAATACGTTTCGTGAGAAATACATGATTTCCTGGAGAAATATCAAGGGTGCCAACAATTTCGGCCATGACTGTATATACTACATTGCCCAAGTATTGGTCCACCGGCCATTTCCCACACACATGACCTTTAATGGCCCCCAGTCTTAGTCCGTAGGGTTCAATATTGAGTTGGCCCCGCCCTTTCCACACACATGACCTTTAATGGCCCCCCAGTCTTAGTCCGTAGGGTTCAATATTGAGTTGGCCCCGCCCTTTCCACACACATGACCTTTAATGCCCCCCAGTCTTAGTCCGTAGGGTTCAATATTGAGTTGGCCCCGCCCTTTCCACACACATGACCTTTAATGCCCCCCAGTCTTAGTCCGTAGGGTTCAATATTGAGTTGGCCCCACCCTTTCCACACACATGACCTTTAATGCCCCCCAGTCTTAGTCCGTAGGGTTCAATATTGAGTTGGCCCCGCCCTTTGCAGCTATAACAGCTTCAACTCTTCTGGAGGCCCCCCACAAGGTTTAGGAGGGTGTCTATGGGAAGGTTGGACCATTCTTCCAGAAGCACATTTGTCAGGTCAGGCACTGATGTCGGGGGAGGAGGCCTGGCTCGCAGTCTCCGCTCTAATTCATCCCAAAGGTGTTCTATGGGGTTGAGGTCAGGACTCTGTGCAGGACAGTCAGTTCCTCCACCCCAAACTGGCTCCTCCATGTCTTTATGGACCTTGCTTTGTGCACTGGTGCGCAGTCATGTTGGAGCAGGAAGGGGCCATCCCCAAACTCCTCCCACAAAGTTGAGAGCATGAAATTGTCCAAAATGTCGCCTTAAGAGTTCCCTTCACTGGAAACTAGGGGGCCAAGCCCAACCCCTGAATAACACCCCCCCACACCATAATCCCCCCTCCACCAAACTTTACGCTTGGCACAATGCAGTCAGGCAAGTACCGTTCTCCTGGCAACCACCGCCAAATCCAGACACGTCCATCGGATTGCCCGACAGAGAAGTGTGATTGGTCACTCCAGAGAACATGTCTCCCCTGCTCTAGAGTCCAGTGGCAGCGTGCTTTACACCACGGCATCCCGACGCTTTGCATTGCACTTGGTGATGGAAGGCTTGGATGCAGCTGCTCGGCTCGGCCATGAAAACCCATTCCATGAAGCTCTCTACGCACTGTTGTTGGGCTCATCTGAAGGCCACACCAAGTTTGGAGGTCTTTAGCTATTGACTCTGCAGACAGTTGGCGACTTCTGCGTACTGTGCGCTTCAGCATGTGCTGACCCGCCCTGTCATGTGACGTGGCCTACCACTTGGTGGCTGAGTGGCTGTTGTTCCCAGTGGCTTCCACTTTGTTATAATCCCACTAACAGTTGAGCGTGGAATATTTAGTAGCCAGGAAATGTCACGGATGGACTTATTGCCCAGGTGGCCACCTATCACGGGACCACGCTTGGAGTCACTGAGCTCCTGAGAGCGACCCATTCTTTCACCAATGTTTGTAGAAGCCGTCTGCATGTCTAGGGGCTTGATTGTATACACCTGTGTCCATGGAGGGGATTGGAACACCTGAATCACATGATATGGAGGGGATTGGAACACCTGAATCACATGATTGGGAGGGGATTGGAACACCTGAATCACATGATTGGGAGGGGATTGGAACACCTGAATAACATGATATGGAGGGGATTGGTACACCTGAATCACATGATATGGAGGGGATTGGAACACCTGAATCACATGATTGGGAGGGGATTGGAACAGCTGAATCACATGATTGGGAGGGGATTGGAACAGCTGAATCACATGATTGGGAGGGGATTGGAACAGCTGAATCACATGATTGGGAGGGGATTGGAACAGCTGAATCACATGATGGGAGGGGATTGGAACAGCTGAATCACATGATTGGGAGGGCGGGGGACAATACTTTTGGCAATACAGTGTGTGTGTGGCACTAGCCCCTAAGGAGCCGCTTGGTTTTTGGGTCCCCCTATAGCTGCACAGGCCGGAAACACCTATTTTCCAACTTCCATTCAGAGTCAGTAACCAGTACATGAGCTTCTAGGTTTTTTGGGGTTTTTTTATTTTATTTGGGGTAAACAGCTTGGAGGGGGTCTAGGGGTCTATGTGATGCCCAACCTGACTTGAAACAGCAACTCTGAGGGCAAACTTCCTATTTTCTGTACAAGAAGGATGGATCCGGAACTCTATTCCCTCCAGAGTGGCTTCTGTCTCAGTTACACAGTCCCTTGAAGGAGAACTTGGTCCCCTTTAACTGGATCTCTTCAGACCCCAGCTGAAAACTACCCACCCACCTGGCTGCCTTGAAGAGTATCCCAGAGCAAGGGATTCCAGAACAGTCCTTAGCTCTGTCCCAGGGAGAACTTGCTGGGTATTGCCCCCCCTTGTAGGCCCGGGGGGGGGGGGGTGTAGAAGTACTCACACTGTCCATTGTATCCTGGGGTTTTGCATAAGACTGCCTGTTCAGGACTTTTAGCTGTGCTAGTCTTCCATGAGGAGCAGGGTACCCTCGGGATAGGACTTGTAGTGCGGTTCCCTCTGTCTAAACCTCTTCTCCTTCCTTCCTCCTCAGCTCCAGCCACCCCTCCCTCCCCACTTCCCGTGGTCCCCTCCCAGGACTCACAATCCTCAACACTCCATCTTCCACCCGACCACTAGACTTTCTTGCTGGCTAGGCTCTCTCATATTTATGGGCCTCCTGCCTGAGATTGGTCAGACTTCCATGAATATGCAGATCTTGATATCCTCCCCTCTGCCCACTGGCTTCTAGAATCTTCTGGAAGACTCCAGTTCCAGGGGGAGGTACCAGAGACCTGACCTGTAGAGGAGATGTGGACCTGACCTGCAGAGCTTACTGTGAGCCCAACTGAATGTAACTCTCTGCCACCCCTAGAGAGTGTTTTATATATATATCATTTTTAATTTTATTTTGTAATTATGCTTCTAAGCACAAAACTTTAATTAAAGGTGGATGTAAACTCTTCCAATACAGTGACTATCCTCAGGTGATGCGCAGAGATGAAACAAATTCTCCTACATAAGTTGTACCTGTTTTTCTGTAGCTCTTCTCTACATCTGCTCAAAGTCCAGAATTTACACACTGCACAACATAGAGCAGGGAGCTGAGTGTTATCTGGGACCTGAGTGTGGGGGGTGGACACACCCTCCTCTACACAGTCTTGTAGGGAAACATGCACAGCGGAGGCTGTCAATCACCTGCTTTGTGCTGGAAGGGGGCAGGCTGTCCCCCAGGATTTCCTGTTGTCCCCATAGACTGGCAGAAGTGACTCATGTAGATAGCGGAGGAATGAGAGAGGAGGCAGAACTCACACTTGGTGCTTTGGATTGAGGCAAGTACACACTATAGAAGGATAGACTTTGTTCATTTTTCATCACAGAGGTTTACAACCATTTCATACAATTTCCTCAATAGCCACAAAGGATATAAATCCACAAGTCCACGGCTGCAGCAGCTTGTTGTGACTCCTTGAACACCAGGACCTTGGTATACGTGTGGTTTAAGCGTGATGCAAAAGAGAACACGCCAACACACAAATTTGAAAATCATCGGCATAATACAAGTGTTGCATTTGGGGATTCCTCGGTGCCCTAAAAGATATGCCAGTGGGGTGACTACGGCCATGCAAATCACGCATCGGTTTTGGGGTTTCAGCGGGGACGACGGTGCACCCCGATACATGCACAGGTGGAAGGGGCCTTAGGAGGTGGTCCATGGTATTATAAATGGTTGGATCTTCTCTTTTTCAGGATATATTGACTAGAAAAATCTCCTTTCTCATTCCCGATGGTCGCGGCGTTGGATGGCGCATCCTGGAACACGGCTCGTGCCATTCAGAGGAATGATATAGGAATTGTGGAACATTCTTGTCCTGTTGGCTTTTATTGAGCCGTTTATTTGCTCCTGACAGCGGCCACTTCTAGATTGTCTCTGTAATATACACTTACAGGAGGTTCGCGGATCGATACCGATGTATCACCAGGAGGGCGATACAACCCGCACCAAGTATTAATTGCCCCATACGTCAGGCCACTTATTAATGCCGTGGCACTTGTGATGGGCGCCAGTCAATAGAAGGAGCGTTTATTGTAGTCATGTCTGTGCCGCCGCTGATTTAGGTGTCACTGGTGATTGGTGGAGGAGAGGACGGGGAATTCAAAGGAAAAGAGGTTTTCTGCAGATACAATGTAGCGGACAGCTGGCTGGTCAGGGATATTGAGAGCCAACAAATGCTGAACCGACTCGCTATCGGAATGTAATGTTTCTTTTTCACAGACAAGCAAAAGACCAAAAATAACAAAAAACTTTGAAAGTATTCTGAAGTCATTTTCTTTTAGGTATACAGTAAAGTGATTCCACCCCTCCCCCGGACTGTATACAATGTATATATATATATCCAGTATCTCCCAGAAAGTGATTCCACCCCTCCCCCGGACTGTATACAATGTATATATATATATAGTATCCAGTATCTCCCCAGAAAGTGATTCCACCCCTCCCCCCTCCCCCGGACTGTATACAATGTATATATATATATATCCAGTATCTCCCAGAAAGTGATTCCACCCCTCCCCCGGACTGTATACAATGTATATATATATATACAGTCAGGTCCATAAATATTGGGACATGGATAATATTGCAACTGTCTTCATGTCCCAATATTTATGGATCTGACTGTATATATACAGTTGTGCTCTAAATAATATCAGTGTGATGATAAAAGTGAGTAAAGCTGCAACTCCTTCTAATCCTTTTATTTCCATCCACACAAATGCATTGGGAACACGACACATTCTATTCCAAATCACAACATGAAGAAAAATACATCAAATTTGTGTTGTTCCTCTAAAAAAATTGAGGAAAAGTGAATATTAGACGGTTCAAAAAAAATGGCCGTGTTTGTATTCTTCTTTCCAAACTCCAACATTCACTATATAAACTGAGAAATGTTTGAAGATTTTGCTTTCCTTTGAATGACTTCATGAATATTTGGTTGTAGTCGCACTGTTTCTGAGAACTGCTGTACATCTGTGTTGCATGGAGTCCCCCAACTTCTGGCCCCTGTGATCAGGTATTCCAGCCCAGGATGATTGGACCACATTCCACAGTTCTTCTCTATTTCTTGGTTTTGCCTCAGAAACGGCAATTTTTTGATGTCACCCCACAAGTTTTCTATTGGATGAAGATCCGGGGAATTGGGCTGGCCACTCCATAACGTCCATCTTGTTGGTCTGGAACCAAGATGTTGCACGTTTACTGGTGTGTTTGGGGTCGTTGTCTTGTTGGAACCCCCATTTCAAGGGCATTTCCTCTTCAGCATAAGGCAGCATGACCTCTTCAAGTATTCTGATGGATTCAGACTGATCCATGATCCCTGGTATGCGATAAATAGGCCCAACACCGTAGTATGAGAAACATCCCCATATCATGATGCTTGCACCACCATGCTTCACGGTCTTCACAGTGTACTGTGGCTTGAATTCAGTGTTTGGGGGTCGTCTGACAAACTGTCTCCGCCCACTAGACCCAAAAAAGAACAATCTTACTTTCATCAGTCCACAAAGTGTTGCACCATTTCTCTTTAGGCCAGTCAATGTGCTCTTTGGCAGATTGTAACCTCTTCAGCACGTCTTTTTCCCAACAGTGGGACTTTGCGGGGACTTCTTGCAGATAGCTTGGCTTCACATAGGCATCTTCTAATTGTAACAGTCCTCACAGGGAACGTCACACCTTCTTTCATCTTCCTGGAGCTGATTGTTGGCTGAGTCCTCACAGGGAACGTCACACCTTCTTTCATCTTCCTGGAGCTGATTGTCGGCTGAGTCCTCACAGGGAACGTCACACCTTCTTTCATCTTCCTGGAGCTGATTGTTGGCTGAGTCCGCCCCATTTTGGCTATTCTTCTATCCATTCGAATGGTAGTTTTTCTCTTTCTTCCACGTCTTTCAGGTTTTGGTTGCCATTTTAAAGCATTTGCCATCATTTTAGCTGAGCAGCCGATGATTTTCTGCACTTCTTTATATGTTTTCCCCTCTCCAATCAACTTTTTAATCAAGGTACGCTGTTCTTCTGAACAATGTCTGGAACGACCCATTTTCCTCAGAATTTCGGAGAGAAATGCACTGTAACCAGCATGTCCAACATTTGCTGCCTTCCTTCCTTAATAAGGGCAATAATTGCCACCTGTTTTTCAAAGAATGAATGACCTCACTAATAGAACTCCACCCTGCTATTATTTTGAACACGCCCCTTTCAATGAGTGATTCAATGACACAGAATCAGCAGCATGCATGTCATGACTGTGGGGTCTGTTGGATTTCTATGACTCTACTACACCTGCTAGGAAATTATTTGCCATGTAGAAATATCATTTCCACCAAAAACAGCGATTGATCCGGTTTAGTGATGTCTGACGGCTATTATTTTCAACACAAACTGTTGCATCTCCCAGAAGTGAGTCCACTCCTTCCCCGAACTGCATGCTATATATATATATATATACACACACACACACAGTATGTCCCAGAAGTGACTCCACCCCAAAGTGACAAGGTCTAAATTGGGCACAATTAGCCATTTTCCCTCCTCGGTGTCATGTGACTCGTTGGTGTTACAAGGTCTCAGGTGTGAATGGGGAGCTGGTGGGTTACATTTGGTGTTATCACTCTCACTCTCTCATACTGGTCACTGGAAGTTCAACATGGCACCTCATGGTAAAGAACTCTCTGAAGATCTGAAAAGAAGAATTGTTGCTCTACATAAAGATGGCCGAGGCTATAAGAAGATTGCCAAGACCCTGAAAGGTGGAGGAGCGCAAGATCCCTAACATCCACCAGCTCCGTGATGTTGTCATGGAGGAGTGGAAGATGACTCCAGTGGCAACCTGTGAAGCTCTGGTGAACTCCATGCCCAA